TATGGTGTGACGTCATTTCAATGGACGTCAGGCACATCATCTTGGGACGACCTTGGTTATTTGACCTAGATGTAACCATCTATGGTCGATCCAATTCCTGCTCCTTCGTGTTTAATGGAAAGAAGATTCACTTTAACCCACTGCCTCCGAAGCCTGCTGGCCCACTGGGAACGAAGAAAAGTGTAGAACGAAAGGGATTGCACATCATTAGTCCTACGGAATTTGAGCGTACACTTGTTGGTGACTCAGTTGTGTTCACTTTGATGGTCATGGAGGTCCCATCACACTCCACAATAGAGAGCCCTGTTGAAGTCCTATCGGTCCTCCAAGAGTTTCGAGACGTCTTTCTGGAGGACCTATTGATCATCTACCTCTACTAAGGGATATTCAACATGCCATAGATTTCGTTCCAGGAGCCTCCATCCCAAATTTGCCTCATTATAGGATGAATCCTACCAAGCACGCTGAACTTCAAAGGCAAGTGGATGACCTCCTTCATAAAGGATTCATTCGTGAGAGTTTAAGCCCGTGTGCTGTCCCCGCCCTGTTGACGCTCAAGAAGGATGGTTCTTGGAAGATGTGTGTGGATAGTCGCACGATCAATAGGATTACGGTGAAGTATCGTTTTCCCATTCCTAGACTTGACGAGACGTTAGACATGATGGTTGGTGCCACAATCTTTTCGAAGATTGATCTGAAGAGTGGATACCATCAGATTCAAATTCGCCCAGGTGATGAGTGGAAGACCGCGTTTAAAACGAAAGATGGTCTTTATGAAGGGTTGGTCATGCCTTTTGGGCTAAGTAATGCACCAAGTACCTTTATGCGAGTAATGACACAAACTCTCCGACCTTTCGTGGGAAAGTTTCTTGTTGTCTACTTTGATGATATCCTCATCTATAGTAAGTCTAAGGAGCAACACCTTGACCACCTCACACAAGTCTGATCTACCCTTCGTGCAACTAATCTATATGTTAACGTCAAGAAGTGCTCTTTCTTCACCAACACGGTCGTTTTTCTGGGGTTCATTGTCTCTTCGATAGGGGTATCCGCTAACCCTGCTAAGGTTCAGGCGATTATTAACTGGCCTGAGCCTAAAGTTATTCATGACGTTAGAAGCTTTCACGGTTTAGCTACATTTTACCGTTGCTTTATTAAGGGGTTTAGCACTATCATGGCGCCTATTACGGAGTGCATGAAGAAATGAGAGTTTCATTAGACACAAAAGGCGGCTAAGACCTTTGAGTTAGTCAAGAAACGAATGACGGAGGCCCCTGTCATGCGTCTTCCCGATTTTTCCAAAGTTTTTGAAGTTGAATGTGACGCCTCCGGGGTAGGTATAGGCGAAGTCTTAAGTCAGGATCGTCACCCTGTTGCCTATTTCAGTGAGGAGTTAAATGAGGCCAAACAGCGATACTCCACTTATGATAAGGAACTGTATGCAGTGGTACAGGCTTTGCGCTATTGGCGCCACTATTTGTTACCCCAGGAATTTGTCCTTTATTCAGATCACGAGGCCCTCCGTTAACTCAACTCCCAAAAAAGATTAAGTTCTAGGCATGGTCGTTGGGTTGAATATTTGCAGACCTATTCATTCGTTTTAAAACATAAGAAGGGCATAGAGAACCAAGCAGCTGATGCGTTAAGTCGTCGTATCTCCCTTTTGTCGATCATGAGTGTCAAGGTCATCGTTTTGAAAGACTTAAGGAGGATTACGGGGCGTGTCCCGATTTTAAAGATATCTTTCTCGATTTACAAAGAGGACAATCAAGCGCCACAGATGGCTTCCGACTTAAGGAGGCTTATCTCTTTAGAGCCAATAAATTGTGCATCCCTCGAACTTTAGTGCGAGATTTCATCGTGTGGGAAATTCATGCGGGTGGGTTAGCCGGTCATTTTGAACGTGATAAGACCATAGAGGAAGTTGAACGTCAATTCTATTGGCCTAGCTTGAAGAAAGACGTGGTTAAGATCGTTAGTACTTGTAACACTTGTCAATTGAATAAGCAGAAGAAGCAGAACATAGGTCTATACTCCCCTCTCCCTGTCCCTAATTGTCCTTGACAAGATGTTAGTATGGATTTTGTGTTAGGACTTCCACGCACCCCAAAGAAGCATGACTCCATTTTTGTGGTTGTCGATCGCTTCTCAAAGATGGCTCATTTTATCCCCTGTAGCAAAACGTCAGATGCGTCCAAGGTTGCCCTGTTATTCTTTAATGAAATTGTCAAATTGTATAGGCTTCCCAAGACCATCGTGTCTGATAGGGACGTTCGTTTTACTAGCCATTTTTGGAGAACTTGTGCGCACAAGATGGGTACCAAATTGAAATTTTCTACGACCTACCACCCTCAGACTGACGGTCAAACTGAAGTAGTTAATCGAAGTTTTGGTAACCTATTACGTTGTCTGGTCCGGGAAAACCTTCGAAATTGGGATTTGATCATTCCTGTAGCTCAAATTGCGTACAATAGCTCCATAAATCGTTCACTAAGTATGAGTCCATTTGAAGCCGTTCATGGGTACAAGCCTAGGAAACCGTTAGATCTCATCCCTATGTCCCCACACGCTAGAGTGTCAGTATCAGCCGAAACATTTGCACAACATCTTCGTGACTTGCATATTGAGATCAATAAGCAACTTGAAGCTAGTAATGCAAAATATAAACTCCAAGCTGATTTACACAAACGACATATTGAGTTTAACATTGGGGATTACGTTATGGTTCGCATTAGGCCAGAGCGACGTCTACATGGACCTGCCTCCAAATTGCAAGCTCGTAGTGCTGGTTCTTTTAAAATTTTAAAGCAGGTTGGTCCAAATGCATATATTGTTGACATTCCACCACACCTAGGTTACCACTCTACTTTCAATGTTGAGGACCTTGTAGCTTATAAAGGTCATTTCATTCCCTCAGATGTTCCTCTGTCATCTCCTTGTATGGACCTTGATCCTGATTCTTTGGCCCCTTCTAACCCACTATCATCTCTCACAGCACACAAAGAAAAAATTGATACTATTTTAGATGAAGAAACTGTGTTCACTAATGATGGAGAGATTTAGCACTTCCCTGTTCGTTGGGTTGGTCGACCAGATTGTGACTGTGCATGGATCACCAGGGAGACACTACAGCAATTGAATCCAGATTTATTAGAATTTTATCGGAGTCAGCAGGATCTTCATTGGCCCAAATCGCCTCTCGTTCACCCGAGAGGAGTTGGTGAGGACATCAGGTTCAGACCGCCACTGACACATTTCTACAGACGCCGGAAGAAGCTTGCCCAGCCACTCAGCCTATGGTTAGGAGATTGACGGATGCCTATGGTGATATAGCCACTCGACAGGGTCGAGTTTTCTCTCCCACCCCGGGAGAATTGATGAGGACATCCCAGTTTTAATTATTTTAGTTGGACTTAGGTTATTTTATTTTTATGTTCTTGTGTATTGGGCTTGGCCCTAGGTTTGCAGTATTTTCAGTATTTAAATCTATTTTACATTGTTATTTTTCAGTTGATAAATTGATTGAATAATAAAGTGGCTGTAGCCCCGTTTTTCCTCCCTTCTTCCCTCTCTCTGTGTTCTCCTCTCGGTTTCCCCTTCGCTTCTCCTCCCTTCTCCTTCTTCTTTCTTTATTTGTTATTCGTTCTATATCAGACATGCTCACAAAGTGAGATTGTGCATTGGCAATGGCACCTTAAAAGGGCTTCCAACATAGTTTCAGGTGAAGCTTATGTAGCTAACTGTGTGCTCAAGCCCCAAAAATATCCAACTTCACCAGTCGAATCCAATTCAGCATGCAGTCAAAAGGTTTACTTGCCTTAATATAAGTTGGAGTAGTCAAACATAATATAAGATGACAGAAATTTTCATATTTCATAGTTCAAAAATAAATAAAATAACCATGTAACTTTTTTTCAATTTCCAGAACTTCATCTGATAAGTACAATATATCTCAAGGAAATTTATCCTTATAAGCCAAATTCAGTTTTTGCTGCTGAGCCACAGCACCATCTGAACACATCAAACAAATTCTTCTGAAAATATATAGCAGCAGTTACTCTTTCCATCTAAATGCTAGAATCTTACCCTCTCGGTTCAGTTTTTACTACGCTCCTAGTTTCTTAAATTTCTAGCAGAATTTCCAGGTAGTTTTCCACATTCAAATATGCTTATTTGGATGCCGCATTATCTTCGGAAACAAATCCTCCTCCTAAACTTCTAGTCCCACCTATAAACAATAGCTCTGCATCTTACATTTTCTTTGACAGTAAGGTATGATAATATTTTGAATTGTTGTCATTTCTTGGAGAAATAGAACATATTGAACACATAACACGGGGAAGTAGTGAGTCAATTGTGTTTTGACCAACAAAGAAATTCCTTAGGAAACACGGATATGTTGCCAATCTCATAAGAACTCAAACAACAAAAGAAAAAGGAAGCGCTTAAGCACCCACCAAAACTTAGAGACTAAAATTAGCAAGAATGATTATATTTATACAAAATAAGACTAATATATATCATACCAGTAAAAGGCAATAAGTGAATATCAAAACCAAGCTATAGGTAATGGCTGTTTGTGTAGAAATACAATTTTTTCCTCAAGGTTAGCCTAACCCATTTGAAATGAGTCAAGACTTGTTGACTGTTTAAGAAGTTTGATAACACAAGCTCTATCCAGACACTGAATGTAAAATAGTATATGAATTGCTAAAAGATACAATTAATTAGGAAAAGGTTGTGCATGTGCCAGCTTGTGAAGACAGAGAGTCAAGAGGGAGGGAGGGAGAGCACAACAACAAAAGCAATTAGACACAGAGGCTTTGTTCTTTTTCTTCTTTGTTTAGGGGGGAAAAAATAAGGGAATTGGGTTGAAAAGACACCTTTTTCTACTGAAAGTGTGAGGTATATAGGATAAATTCCACATTACCAAAATCAAGCATGCAAATGAATGCATTTAATGTTAGAAAAAAACTAGTACATAGGAAGGTGAGACATACCTTGCCACAAACTGGACAGTTATCACTTCTTTCCATCCACTCATATATACAACCAAGGTGGAAATGGTGAGAACATTTTGTCATAATCTTTGGGTTTTCTGTAGTATACTCTGAAAAAACAGATGATCAAACCATAAGAAAACCAGAATCTTCAGATGCCATAAGTAGCTATCAAGTCAAACCAACAAGTACAGGAAAGAAGCAGAGGAAATCCCAGTTCTTAAAAAATTCCATGTTTCAGAATTGCAGCACTCTTTAGCAATGCTGCCATGCCAGCATTCTCTTGTTTTAATGCTTTTGCCCCAAATTAGAGAAAAGATAAATTTGGTTTTAGCTATGAAAAATGAAAGAAGTTTCGTTTTGGCAATCTACAAATTAACTGAAGGAAACTGAAATCTGTATGAGCAATGATATCAGATAGGAACAAGAGAACCATCGTAATGCTCTGTTACATGCAGATTATGTCTCAGGGTTTGTTGCAACTTGCAAACAGTTACGTACTAAAAAATATAGTAAATAATGACCCTACTACAATAATTGCCACAAAAACACTATAAAACTAAAATTTCCATATTCTTACCTTCAAGACATGTGGGGCAGACATCTTCATCTTCTGAAGAAGTATAAACATGATCAAAACCTGTCTTCGGTTTAGCTGTTGAGAGCTTCAGTGAATATTTTGAATTGTACTCCTTAGATCCTTCTTCATTCCATTTTTTTGTGTTCTTCAAAGATATAGACTCTTCATCAACTTCACTTCTTCTCAATGGTTCAGTCTCTTCGTGCGAATGACTTGAGCCTTTCTCCCTCCTTGAGACCAGTCCATCGCGCTGCAAGCCGAAATATCTTGGATCTGCATCATAAGGCAGAGGCCTTGGAGGTGAGAAGTACATATCATCTAGAGAGTTATCAAGTGATGAAGCCAAATTCAAAGATGCTGTCCCCTGAGTGGAAGACGCAATGCCATGTTCTTCTTCTCTGCGAAACAATGATGTATACTGCAAAATGCAAGAGTGATATATCATTTTAAACCAACTGGAATGATTCCAAGCCAAGCTTCAGTAGAGTTTGGATTATTATGACACGGGAGATCCCTAGGAGCATTTCAGTAGATCATGGTACTGGATCAATTACCATTTCATTTAGGATACATTAGCATTTGACGAAACTCTAACTCTGACTCTAAAAGTACTTAATTGATTCAAAAAACCATAAATCCATAAAGTAAATTGGATAATTAATCCATCACTACCAGCCTAACAAATAATATAGTGGTAACTGGTACCATAACCTGGTAAGTTTGAATAGGCATATGCCAAAAGTTTTGAATTTCCCTGATCAAATAACCATTTGATACATCGACGTGCTTGTAGGGAAACATGCCAACCTAGATGACTGATTTAAACAAGTGAAGATTAAATGGATTTGAAGGCCACAAGCTCATGCTGCACAGCAATAGTGCACATGCCTGAAAGAAAGGCCTTGTGCTGTACAAATCCAATTTGAATTATCTCTAACTTCATTAGACAAGAAAGAACGTAAAGCTTACCACAGCCAAGAAGTTATGAACAAAGCAACGGAGGCATATACAGTTCCGACAAAGTGAGCTGTTCGGATTAGTTAAATTTTCGCATTCATCTCGCAAACAGCAACAAACACCACCCATTAATACCAGCTCCAATCTAATTTAATATGTCAAAAACCTTCCACTATCCCAATAGTTTCCAGATGTGACAATAGGAACATTAAAAATCCAATCCTGAGGCACGGAAACAAATTAATGATAACGAGAGAGGATTCAAGCTCGCAGAACTTAATGCTGTTTTACGAACCCGCACCTCTCACTCACTCTCTCCCAAGTGCCCTTTCCAATATAGTAGACCTTAAACAGCAGATATAATATATATTCACCTGCAAAAGGAAAAAAGGAACACTTGCAGGATCAGAAATGAAAACAAATAAAAAGCGAGCCGCTATTTTCATCCACCATTTTTATATATCTATCCACTTTATTAAAAAAAAAAAAAACACACACACACACACATTTTTTACCATATGTAAATATACTTATAAAACCAAATTAAATTCCACTAATATTTATCCTCATTAAATGCTTTTAGACCTTTTTATATTCTTTTAGATTGCACAATTAACTAAAACCCTAATATTTATAAGGTTTTCCTCAAGTTAGATGTTTGAATGGCCATTGAACTTTGCTATATATCATGGCTTACTTACTCTACTTCAAAACCTTTCCCAATGGCCACTCAACTTTACTTCGTCCAACTCCATTGGCCACCAAATGAAATCCATTGAATTTGCCTACGTGTTTCGAGGTAATCAGATGTAGCATGTTAAATATTAAGTTATTTGCTACATGAACTCCATGTCAGTAGTAGCCAAACACACCTTTGTCTTGATTTACAAATTAAAAAGCAAAATCTCTCACCTCTTACCCAAACACATTTCTCCCTCCCAAAAAAACCCCAAACTGGAGCAGTGCCTTTGAAAATTGAAAATGATAATTCCATCAACACTTGTTGCATAAACATGCTGGCCAAATAAATATTGTAAATCTTTTTTGGTATCATACTTCTAAGCAGGGGCGGACCCAAGATAACGGTTCAGTGGGGGCGAGACAAAAATTATGGGCTAAAATATATATGCAGACATACACTTGTATTGTACGGTGCCTTTGTTGCTTCACACACAACTCACACGGCTGGGGTAGGTTTTGCTATTAGTTTGGAATTGATTGGTAGTTGATTTTCAATTGGATTGTGAAAGTGAAACTAATGAGGACATTTACTTTTTATTTCTTTTTAATTGGACTTTATTTATGTTTTAGATTTTATTTATGTAATTGGGCTTTTGTTGGCCCAAACTCATTCTATTTAGGGTTTTAGTTTTTACTATTTAAACCTAATTGCGATGTAATTTTAGATGAACGGGTTATGTTAACCATTGATGGAGATAATCGGTGCTTCTTTAATTGTTGGGTAGATCAACGTTCTTATTGTGCTTCACATTATACGCAATCATGTGAAGATTTTGGAGATGAGTTGCAGGAGTACTTGTTATTTGAAGTCCAATGTCGGTACTTGATTAAAATGAGGGATCGTCCGCCTTGGTCGGATCATGTTCTTGAGGACAAGTTGCCATTTGCATTATTATCAACTGTGGAGTTCAAATATTTGGTTCTTCAAAAAGATCGTCCACCGTGGTATGAATTCAGACATTGAAGATTGACGGTAGCTCTTTGTCATTTGTTCACTCGACAGAGTCGAGTTTTTCTTCCACCCCGGAAGAATTGATGCGGACATCACTTATATTATTATCGCACCATCAATTATATTATTATCGCACTATTTTACTTTTTCTAGTTATTGGGCTTGTATTATTGGTTTGGCCCAAGCCCATCACTGGTAGGGTTATGCTTTTACTATTTATATGATTTTCAGTTGTAATTTCAGTAGACAATGAATTGATGAATGAAATAATGTTTGGTTAAGTTTTCTCCTCTTCTTCCCTGGCCTTCTTCCTCCCACCCTGTCTCTGTTTCTCCTCCCCGTTTCTTCTTCTTCTCCCCTGGTTTCTCAACTTCTTCCTGACTACTTCTTCTTATTGAAATCCCTCCATCTATCCTACATCAGAAACAATACAAACATTTAGGGGGTGTTTGGGAGTGATTTTTCACCCCAAAAAATTGATTTTTTTTTACCGTTATTTCATTATTCCAACGTAAAGTTTGATTCTTCTCTCACAGGTGGTCTTCACTTTTCTCGTGAAGGTCAAAAAATCAATTCCCAAAATCGCTACCAAGTAGCCAGCATAATCCAGTGGATGATGCCTTTTTTTTTCTTTTTTTTTTTCAAACAAGAGGCCTAACACAAAAGAAAAAGGCCTAAAATAAAAAAATAAAATAAATAGTCTAATCCATTTACTGTGAGGAAATTTACTGTCATCTTCATCTTCCAATTTTCACATTTCCACCTGCGTGCAATCACCTTCAAGCTTCCTCTCTGACTGCAATGCTCTCGGCGCTGACTGTAAATTCAGTGGGTGCAATTGACCCCACTGGTCCCTTAATAGGTCCGCCCCTACGTTTAAGCATTATCATTATCTTTGTATTGTGCTCGAGAGGGATTTTCAAGTATGGCAAAACGGAGAAACATCAGCCGCACTGTTTCTCGACCCAAAATGTGTTGTTAACAATGATGAAACCCCACCATTTAAGTATGTCATCTATGCACAAGCTCTATCATCTGGTATTCTTCCAAGGTAGCATCATTAATGATAGTTTGTAGCATAGATGGTGCAACATTGCTAGTAAATCAAGATTTTCTAGGAGGAAAAGACATGTTTGGGAAAGAGGTGAGAGATTTTGCTTTTTAATTTGTAAATGAAGGCAAAGGCATGTTTGGCTGCTGCTGAAATGGAGTTCACGTGGCAAATAACTTAAAATTTAACATGGAATGTCAGATTATCGTGATTCACCTAGGCAGATTCAATAATGGATTCATCCAGTGGCCAATGGAGTTCGACAGACTAAAGTTGAGTGGCCATTGAGAAAGGTTTTGAAGTAGAATGAGTAAGTCGTGACATATAGCAAAGTTCAATGACCACTCAAACATTTAACTCGTTTTCCCTAATGGTAGCTCCAGCATTAAAATGTAAAAGGACAACACAAATAAGATTCTTACTCACGTCAGACTAGTGTGTAGTAAAAGAAATAGAAACACCAACCACAGAAACTTATAAACTTTCATATCTCCTTTGTGCCGCATGAATGCTTACATATCCTTTCCTGGACATCCCATATGAATGTCCACTTGAGAGAGAGAGAGACTTCATTTCATTATAGTTCACTGAATCACTTATTTCTCAAAAAAGGGAGAAAAAAAAATTGACAAGCATATCATTCGACGTTAGAAATGGAATATAGAATTCAGAAACTACAAAAAAAAAAAACACAATTTTTCATCTTTTTCCCACGTAATTACGCCAGTTAAATCAATTGGAGTATATTCAATTCATTCCAAGCAATCTATTGCAGCTTAAAAAATCAGTATAGTTCAGAGTAAGCCATTATGAGAAAGAAACGGGGATTCAATAAAATTGGAGTGGATTCAATAAGAGTAATGTTGGAATGTAATGGGAATGAACATAGTACTTTTTTAAAATTTTAAAGCTAGATATATAAAAGTGGTATGGATATATATTGTGTAATTGAATGAATTTAATAAGGATAATGTTGAAAATCCCATCTTCAGGAAATTAATGCAAATTGCCATCAATGTACAGAGAAATTTTTTTGATTGAATAGCAAAGTCGGTGAACTAGAATTTATAAAAAAGATTAATAATAAGTAAACCTGGTTCATTCGTCTTCAGATAACACTAATTAATGTAACATCTTTTATTCTTTTCCGTTCATTTCTAGTTAGAGAACTGAAGTAATGAAGACCAAAGATTTTTAGAATAACAAAGGGAAAAAATTAAAATTAAAATTAAAATTATTATTAAAATTCATCAAATTAAAACCAACAATACTAAGAGAGAAATCCAGAAAAAAATTCAAGTCAAAAAATTTCTAATCTTTTCAAACTAACTTTCATAGTTTCTTCAAAATCCAGCAAGGACAATAATTTCTTCAGTCTTGAATATCAACATTTATTATATTAATATCCAGAAAAGGAAAAAAAAATTGATTAATTTATCAAATAAAGAAAACCCATTGCAGATTACACAATTCTAAGACTGATTTCAACCCGCCAACTAAAATAATAGAGGGGGAAGTAAAACAGCATCACTTAGGTAATCAACTAAAAATTAACACATTAAGTATACACTTACAGAATAAAATTCAAAAATGATCAGACACCGAATCCGAGCAATCCAAAGTCAGATGTGTCAAGATTGCATCAAATATATGCAAGAAGAACGAAATATTTGGAATTATTTTACTCGATAAAAAGGTCATGAAAGCGTTATGACATCCGCACGCTTCTCAGTCTCGTGGTGGTTGAAACAGCATTATTGAAAGGGCTACAGGGTGTCCTTAATTCGAATTGTAATAAAATTTAAAAAAAAAATTATAAATTTAATGATTTTCATGAATTCAAATATGTTTCTACCTAATTCTTAAGAATTAAAATTTGATTTTGTTACGTTTATTTTGAAGTTTGAAATTCACCCAAATATCTTAAAATTCCTTTATTAATGAAATACTTATAAATTAAAGAGTTATGGACGACATCTCAATCTTAGTTAATTTTGATAAAATTCATAAAAAAATTTATTGGGAACACATGAATTTACAATGACTTTAAATTCCAAAGCATTCTTTCCAAATTTCACTAATTTAAGGGGTCCAATTTGAATGACTTTTGAAAGGTCAAGTTTTGAAATTAAAAAATACTTTTGGATCTCTTTGGATGGTTGTCTAGAAGAATTCTATGTGATTAAGCCCCATTTAATTCCTATTCTTTGATCACAAAAAATGAAAAATATAACCGTTATCCATCATATCAAATCACCATGTTTGACTTACTATCTCCTGTGTTGGTTTCATACCGACTATATTTTTCATTCTCATTCTTAAAAAAATGATAATCAAATAAGGGACTAAAAGAATTTTTAAAGAAAATTGATTCAAAGTAGTAACTAACTTCTTTGTAAAGCTCTTCCATAGAAAATAAAAACTACTAAACGGCCCTCAATAGACATACATATGATGAGTTGAAAGAGATAGTGGACCGAAGTATGGGGATAAGTTTTATGAACAACGAGTAATTTCACCTTATTATTTATATCTAAATGAAATTGAAAATATCGGTTGCATTGTTTTGGAACAAAAGAAATATTTTGCACAATTTTATGTCTATATTGATTGAAATTTTTTTAATATTAATAAATAATTTCTCTATTGCAATCGTCAACAATCAATGATCACCCTACATTTCTCAACTTCCTGGATCCTCCCTATACTACCTCATTAAGCCATCCCCTCCTTCACTTCACTAGTAGACTTATTCTTTTTGTTTTCTTTCTTTCATCTTCTTCCATATTTTATAGCATGGCAAAAGGGACGTCTAGTTTAGTGAAATGGCGCTTTGTGGCTAGACTAGGAGGAAGACCGAGCGCAGCTGCTGAAGTTGATGTCAGAGAGGCAGTTTGATTTTTGTAGAAGAAGATGGCGTCGATTCAATGCAGTACAGTTTGTGTCGAGACAAGGGAGGAAGATTAGTTTGCGATCGAAGTTGGTTTGGAGAAGCAATTTGATTTTATATTTGAATTTGATTTGAGGTTGTACCTGAGGAACCATTGAAATTCGATTTTATAGCGGTTTGATGAAGAGCGGTTAGGTTATAGTGGTTGTGCAGTTGGTTTGGATTTGGTGTTGGTTATGGAGGTGGCGACTTGGGTGGTGCTAGTGGTTATGGGTAATAATGGTGCTATAGGCGGTGTTGGTTGATTGAAAGTAGTGGTGTTTGTGGTGATTATTGTGTAATTAAGGTTGTGGTGGTGCGAAAAATATACACATCTAGGTAGTCGTGATAGCAAGGTGGCTGTGGCATTTAGGTTGTGCCGATTGTGGTGCAGTGGAGGGATGGAGTGGGCTGGGATGAAAAACAATTGTGTTTAATAAAATGAATAATATATAACCTAAAAAAAGTGTAATTTGTAATTATAATTATAATTATAAATAGGTGTGAACGTGGTTCATTTGGACAGTTTATGAAAAATTTTCAAACCAAACTATTTAAAGCGGTATGGAGTTTTTTCAAACCAGAGCAAACCACGTCAATTTCTAAATCAAACCATTTTTTTTTAAATTTAATTCGATTTAAAACCATGATTTACAATGGAAAATACACACACGCGCAGATATATGCATATACTTTAAAATAGAAATGGTATCATTAAAAATATTACAAATCAAAATTCTATAATTATAATTATTATAATGCAAGTACATGATAGAAATATTTTAATCTCTCAATCAATACTAATCGGCGCAACATTTGTAATTCTAACACATAATTAATTCCCTCCATTAAAGAAAAAATGAGTAGAAAGATAAAAAGCGATAATACATTCTATAACTTTTTTGTGAATTATTTAATGTTTCTACCTCATCCAAAAATTGATGAATCACTATAGATTTCTTATTACTATGTAACCAAATTTTAGGGCAAATCACCACCTCAACTACATTTTCACTCAACGAACTCCAAAGAATCAAGAATTCGACCATTAATAGAAATGTAGACTCGGAAACAATTATGAATATTTGAATAGCTAACATATCTTTAGCAATTTGGGAAATAATCTTGTATTTATTTGCCTTGAATTTTCATCAAAGTAATATCTCGAAAGGCCCATTGATCAAATCTCCAAAACTATTTAAGAAATCCATTGAATCAATCTAGCAATTAACTTTAAAATCTAGAAAATAAGTTAAAATGTAAATAATTAATTGAGTGACCTGACGAAAAAATTGAAACACAAAAATTTAAAAAAAAATTGTACGTTAAAATTTGAGAGAGTTTGACACAAATTAAAACAAAACAACACAACTACTAATAAAATATAGGAAATAATTGCCAAAAATGAGAAAAAAATAGATAATCTGACATAGAAATTTAGCCAAATTCTGAAAAGCTATTAGTGAAAGAAAAGAAATGTATGAGTTTGAATTAAAATCTACATTTAATTGTCTACTCAATTGTAATGGACGGTAGGTGAATATGTTTCAACAACAATTGTTCAACACTTCATTAAATTTGAGGATTTTGCATTCAAAGTTGTGATGATTGATAGGTATTTGAGTATGATTTAATTAATCGATTGGGATGAATAATTATCTATTTAGGTAATGAATTTAATTGAGTTATGTTTAATATGAATGTATATTTTTAATTGGGATGTGTTAAGTTTTAATTGAGTTGTCCAAAATTTAAATTAATTTTTTCCAATTTTTTAAAACGATTTCACGGCTTAAAATGGTTTGCAGAGATTGAAACCTAAATCAAACACTTCGAAATTATTTGGTTCGGTTCAAAATCAAAATATTGATCAATCCATGTGGACCCAAATCAACGATTTCAAAAAAGTGATTTCGGTTCGATTCGTAGTTTGACGATTTCCTTATTCAACCTGAATAGTGATCCATAATTATTGTATTCGTGATTGTAACATTATGTGTTTTACGACTAGTACAAAATTGTTCTATAAATTATATGTTATTATAACTTTAACTTGTTTAATTAATTAATAAATCACAAATTGCAAAGAATATTTTGAATCCTTTGTACTTTGTGCATTTATTCCCATATTTAACCAAGA